GGGGGGACAGCGGGAGTTCCCTTTTTTTTCCCGTCTGCCCTATAGCCCCTAATCCACCCCCCCACCCCCCCCCCCCACCCCCCCCCCCCAACCGGCATCTCCCTCTCTCCCCTACTCGCCGCAGCCAGCGACACCGGCACGGCGTGGAGGTCTGTCAGAGCCGAGCTGGGCACAGGAGCAAGGGAGGGAGGGGCTGATCGTGGGGTGGAGGAGGAGAGGCTGGGGGGGGGCAGTTTGTGGAAAGAGAAAAAGAGGGAAAGCAGGCAGGCCGAGAGGAGAGGAGTCGCGGCGTGGAGGAGGACCTGGCGGCGGGACGCTAATGCGGGAATGCTAACACCTGCCCCACGCACAGTGAGTAACCTCTGCATGCTGGGGGGGTTGGGGGGGGAGGCTGGGGTGCTGAATTAGGGCCTATAGTGCAGACGGTAAAAAAAAGGGAACTCCTGTTGTCCCCCCCCTCCCCGCTGGTCCTCAGAGCCGCCAGTGCACAGCAGGCTTTAGCCCGGGCTTTAGCGCTGTCGCTAAGCGTGCAGCGTGTTGTTTTGGCACCTTTGTCTTTTCACGTGGACTTTCACATGCCGAGTCACGGCAGCGGCCAGATGGGCTCCTCCGGCTTTGCCGTGGGGGATCCTGGTGTGGCATAGCGCCGCCTCGGTGGGGAGAGGCGTCCCGCTCCTTCAGGAATCCCCCGGGTGCCCCGGCGACGCCGTGGGAATAATGAGAGCAAACTTGAAATGAAAGCGAATCCCCGTACGGCTCGATATGTCCGTCAGATTTAATTTCACGCCACCCCGAGGTTTGTCTGTCTTTGAAGTAATGTGTCGGACACTCAGAAATGCTTTTTTGCTGTCACCATTAATTAATTTAGCGGGTCGTCACTGCAGGCATTAGAGAGAGGTGGTGGACGTTGGGGCGTGACCCTGAGAGGCTGCCTCACCTCCTTCCCGTCCGGGTCTTTGTTTGAACCGTTTCCCTGTCACCGTATTTTTTGAAAGACACAGTCTCCAGAGGATCTGAGACACATTTATCACTTTAAAAAGTTAGCAGAGCATATGGAGGGAGATCTTCTGTGCGAACCACGTGGAGGAGGGTTTGCAGATCTCCGGGGTGGGGGGGTGGGGTCTCACCTTGCTCATGTCATAGCAGAATAGAGATGCTCGGGGTCACTATTCAATTAGACATCCCACCCCCCCTATTTCCTTCCCTGGCATTTTCCCCCGTATTCCTCACCACGGTCTTCACGCCTGCCGTTGTACCCTTGACATTTCCGGACATGAATGCCGGATTGTGGGTGGCGCCCCCCCCCCCCCGCATCGTTAACCTTTCATTGTTTAACAAGCCCCGGCTCTCTGCTCCCCCCCCACCCCGATACTCTCACTGGAGCCTCCTACCCTGATGATCTCTCCGCCTTTAGCCATTTTTCCATTAGCTTATCTTCACCATCACATTCTCTCCTCCTCTGGCTTCTCTCCTTCTTTAGCTTATTTTCTTTTTCGGTTCCCTTCTCTAGTTTCTCTCCTCCTTTACCTTCTCTCCTCCTTTAGTTTCTCTCCTCCTTTACTTTCTCTCATTTAGTTTCTCTCCTCCTTTAGTTTCTCTCCTCCTTTACTTTATCTCATTTAGTTTCTCTCCTCCTTTACTTTCTCTCATTTAGTTTCTCTCCTTTACTTTCTCTCATTTAGTTTCTCTCCTCCTTTACTTTCTCTCATTTAGTTTCTCTCCTCCTTTACTTTCTCTCCTGCTTTACCTTTTGTCCTTCTTTAGATTTTCTCCTTAGCTTCTCTCCTCCTTTTTCTTCTCCTTCTTTCTTCTTTCTTTAGTTTCTTTCCTCTGTTACCTTCTCTCCTCCTTTAGTTTCTCCCCTCCTTTACTTTCTCTCCATCTTTACCTTCTCTTCTTCTTTAGTTTCTCTCCTTTAGCTTCTCTCCTCTTTTAGTTTCTCTCCTCCTTTTTCTTCTCTCCTTCTCTTTCTTTAGTTTCTTTCCTCTGTTACCTTCTCTCCTCCTCTAGCTCCTCTCCTCCTTTAGCTTCACTCTTCCTCTAACTCCTTAGCACTCTGACCCGGCGTCCTCCGTCTCCCCCTCCCCTGTCTGAGGGAGGGGCTCCCAGTTAGCCCCCCAGTACCACTGGGACCACTCATCCTCACTCTGTCTCCATGCCGATGACATTAGTCTCTCCTCTCCCATTGGCCAGTCGCTTATCAGCCACTAATTAACATGTGGATTATTTAAGGGGCCCACCCGCCTTTCTGACATTGACCCCTGGGGGGTGCTGTCCCTGCTCATGTCTTATTTCTCCCCTTAGGTCATGTTACAATTGGTCACAGCTGATTTTCAGTCGCAGATAATTAAAACTGCCTGTCTTTCCGTTTTTTTTCCCCACTATTTCAAATCCCACGCCCTCCTGTTTCAGTCACTCCTGCCACGAGATGGAGGGAGGGAGGGTCGTGTGCGTCTCCAGACAGCCCACTCTATAGCACCCTGGAGGGGGGAGAGGGCTGGCTTTAAGTTTGAAGGTGGAGACGATGCCGGCCTCCCCCCCCGGTCTTGGAGGGGATGTTGGGAGACGGGCACGTCCTCCGAGAGGCAGAGCGGTGGCATCAAAGTGACTCCGGCCGCTTATAGTCGCTTTGCTAAGCTCCTGTCAGCCCTGTAAGCTGCGTGGAGCTTTTGTCTCTCGCTTCTCCATCTTGTGTGTGTCGGATTTGGCTCGGAGGGTTAGCAGCTGCTGTGGCTAAATGCTAATGCACATCGATCACAAGGAACAGTGTTGATGGATGGATGGATACTTGATTAATCCTGATGGATATTTCTGGTTTACAGTACCATAACACACACATTTAAACGATAAATCAGACATTTAAACTGCTAGACAGTAGTAATAAATACTAAACAACAATAAACAAAAAGAGTACACAGAATTGCGTGGTCGCACTCGGACATGGGCAGTGTTGCACGGTTACGCAGGTCTAACGCAGCAGCACATCGCGATCCAGGCTGAAGCACGTTAGGGCTGCCTGGACTACACCCTGTACGTATGGGGGGGGGGGTCTCGCTGAGCTGCACCACTGCATGAGGCTCTTTCAGATGATCTGAGCTCCAGGTGGGGGCTCTCGGCTGATCTAGAGAGGGGGGGGGGATCAGTGAGCTGCCGTGACCTCAGTTTGTCAGGTGGGGCCGTACTGCGAGCCAGCCTCACCCATGCCTGCCCCCCCAAGCCTCAGACTAGCTGGTGGGGGGGGGTGGACTTGGGGGATGAAATCTCGAGCCCCCTGGCATTGGTAGTAAAGGAGTGGTTTACTGGTTGCATTAGCTGGGTCTTGGTAACCCTGGTTACTTAGAAGAGACACTCAAGCCATTGACTACCAACACATTAGAAAAATATCTGCTGTTAACAATGACCCATGTTGCTTGTGGTTCTGTGTGTGTGTGTGTGTGTGTGTGTGTGTGCGCGCGCGTGTGTGTGAGCGTGCGTGTCTTTGTTCCTGTGCGTGTAGGTGCACCCCCCGAACGCACGTGGGCTGGCACAGATGCGTCCGGCACTTGTGAGACCCACTGAAGTCCATGACCCGTCACCTGGTGGCGCTAATTAGCTGAGATTGGGGGCACACTCTTGGGTTAATCGAGGTGTTGTATGGCATATGAATTATTAGCACTACTACTTCAGCTCAGTGTCTAGATGATCATTATCCTTTTTTAGCTTTATTTGTGTGTCGATCTTCCTTTCCGCTTGAATGCTGAGCCCTGTTGGCGTGGAGGCCCTCCCTTGACCCGTGTCCCCCCAGTGGTCAGAGTGAGTATTGTCAGGAAGTATCCTTCAAACCTGCCGCATCCACACGGACACCTGCAGGTGGCGCTGTTTCAAGCCTTAAACATGCCGCGCTGTGGGAGGGGCCGCACGCCTCGCCGTATTGGACGTTTCACCGAATCGAGATCCGGCTCGGAACGGTCGCTGTGGCTCGCGGCCGTTTGGTCGTGATTAAGCGACTCGCTGAATCCAGCTAACGGGACTCGGCCTCTGATCACGGCGGCGCCCATGAAGCGTCGATGCTGCATCGTGCTCGGCGTGTCACCTCATCCATCTCCTGCCCTGATGTCATTTCCCTGGGGAGGGGGAGGGGGGGGGGGAGCAGGGCCAGCCACATCCACAGATTGTGCAGAACCAGAGGGCATTGGTGGGGGGTGCAAGGGAAAGATGACAATTATCAGACGGTGGGGGCTTCTGGGACCTGAGTTTGGCATGGTGTTCTCCCCATTTAGCTAGGCGACAACACCCTCCCCCCACACTCCTAAAGAATAAAATTAAACAAAGGCCTAGGTGACACCCAGCCATGCCGATTCACGTTCGGGGGGGGGGGATGTCACATCGATCGCAAAGAGCCACGTTAGCATGTTTCCAATATCCTGACCTTTGGGGGCTATGTGGATCACACCGGACAGAGATGAAATTGGGCCTCTAGTCAGTGACAGGCTTAGAATAGGACCCCCCCCCTCCCACCCAACAAAGGGTTTAATAAAGACATGATGTATTAAGGCATTATGAGGAGACACTATGGACTGTGCTCTGGCCGTGGGGTCGGGGCCCACTGCTACCCCCAGCACCCTGACATGGGGTGGGGCATTCCTCTGGTCTCCCCTCATGGCCTGAACATGTGTGTGTGTGTGGGGGAGGGTCATGCTGTGTATCCAGTATGGTGTACTGGGAAGGCTAAGGCTACCACAAAACCAGCCTCAGTATGCTTCTGTGTACACTGGATTGCCTGCACACTGCTTTCGATGCTTTTGGAGCAGAGAGGGGTCCTCCATGGCATTCCCTCCCCTCTTCTGTTGTTTAATAATGATTTAATGATTTAGGTGGCTGAGAACATGCCTGATTCACTTTAGGTGGCTGAGAACATGCCTGATTCACATGTTTGCTTCGGTTAAACTCCGTTTTTAACAACCTTGAGTTTGACCGCCTTGAACCCTGCGTAAGTCTCACTGTAGCTTATGGTCTCATGACAGTTTTTATAAGAAATGAGCATCGCGACGGTTCGTTAATGGCATCTGGGCCATTTCCCTCATCTCCTCACTGATTGTGACCCAGCAATTGGCAGTCTAATATTTACAAGTGCGCAGGCTGGGCTAATTACTTGAGTAATACAGCAAGGCACATCAATCCAATTATATTCATGAGCTGTGTGGCAGACCAACTGTTTGTAGGGATTTTTTAGCATTAGCATCCGCTCCCTGTCTGTTTTGACAGACGAACTCTTAGCATCGTACAGATTTTTTAGCATTAGCATCCTCTAACTATTGTGACAGGCCCACTGTTAGCATCGTACAGATTTTTTTAGCATTAGCATCCTCTCCCTGTCTGTTTTGACAGGCGAACTGTTAGCATCGTACAGATTTTTTTAGCATTAGCATCCTCTCCCTGCCTGTTGTGACAGGCCAACCGTTAGCATCATAGGGTCTTTTAGTGTCAGCAATCTCTCCCTCTGTTGTGACCGGCTAACCATTAGCATCGTAGGGTTTTTTAGCATTAGCGTCCTCGCACGTTATTGGTGAAATCAGACCCCAGACTTGTTGACAGATGCCCTGTCCGGGTTTTCATTTGGCATCGAGGGTCAGGGATGATGCAGCAGAATATTAATCAAGGCGAGCGAAAGACACTGGAGGCCCCCTTGGGGGGGGATGTTTATTGCAGCAGGCCAAGACGGAAGCATTTAGACGCTGAGCTTCTCAGCACTCCCAGAAAATAATGGGATAGAGAGCCAAGCCATCGATCTCGGGAAGTTGGCGTGTCGGACGGCAGCTTGGCCCAGCTCGTGGTCTGCTGAGGATCACCGCTCTTCAGTGCTCTCATAGGCGGCGTCTTGGGAACCGTGATCTGGGGAATGCCAGATTCCCTGGGGCTGTGACCACTAAGTGTTCGTGCACGAGATGTAGAAGAGAAGATGGACGAGCCAGGGTAGGTGGCCTGGAGTCAGGCTTTGTGGTGCGGGCCCTCCGAGGGGTAAGGGAGTCTCGCTGACGGCTGGATGAATTGGGGGTGGTGATGGCGGTGGTCCACTTTCCCACCATAGCCCGCGGCGACCTCTGACCCCTATTCATCTTGAGTGGATGCGAACTCCAAAGGTTAAACGTCCGCACTTGACAACAGCCTCCCAGCAACACAAACAGGCTTAAATGATTGTTATTTTTCTGCTTTGCTCGTTGTGGTTGGTTTCACAGTCAGACATGCAGCTTGACCTTCTGCGGCTCTCGCTCTCAGGGCTATGGAATTGCTCGTCTGAAGAGGCTGATAGCAAACACTACGCCATCACACAGAGCAGGAGCGTTGCAGCCGGTGTGACTCATTGCGATTTTAGCCGCGGACGACATTCGCTGCATCCAGTTGAAGTGCTTTGTGCCGCCGTATTGTTGCCTAGGAATTGCCAGGCAGTTGGTCAAGTAACTTTATAGAAAGACACAAAAGTACTTGACAAGTAAGCCTGGGAAGTGTTACATAATGCAGAAACACAAAGCACCTTTGACAGGCTCCTCTGTTATAGCAGCCACACGGCGACACGGTGGAAGGCGAATGATCCTGCCTTTTCCCACCAATGTTGTCCTTTTTACCCATAAACCCTTTCTCTGGATGTGGCCCCTCTCTGTTCTTGTCACACGTCACATGTCACTAGCGGGCATCGCTGCTGATCACATCGCCCCCTGCTGGCGTGTTCCCCCACGGCAGCTGATGATGACACAGGAAGTGTGGGAGGCCCCGTCGAATGAAACGGGCCCTAATTATCATAGAGCATCGATAGAGTTTTCCCAGAATTCCCAGCTCATTCTGCCGTATTTCAGCACGGTGGCGTCATGGCGACAGTGTTGACGGGGGGGCACTTTCCAGCCCAGCTGCTGGATGTTGATCTTCATCTAAATCTTCTCCAAAGCCCCTGTCCCCAGGGCCATGGGATTAAGCTCAGCAAGTTGCCCGTGTCAATAACCCTTTACCAAGACTGCCAGAGGGGCAACAGAGCTAAACTGTTTGCCCTCCTCTTCTAAGGTAAAAGGGTCACGTGATTCCGATGATTTACATGTTCGAAACAAAGGATCCTCCATGATTCTCAACGGCTCCCCCTGTTGTAAATCTCAGGTATTTCACTTTTCCGTTCTGTCAATATTGGGTGAGTTAAATGGACGTGGGGATTGGGCTGGTGTCCCTTTCCTCGTACAGGCCATGTGTGTGGAGGGTTACGTACTGCGAAGTTTCGGGCTCCGGCATGAGCAGAGTGAGGATCCCACACAGATTCCCCAGGGGGCTCTTCTCTGTCGGCAGTCTGCTGCCTATAGGGCGGCGCTCTCCTTTAATAACTGTTCTCTCTTTTTCTTTTTCTCTCCGCTGCTGTCCTGGGACCTAGAGAGAGGTAAAGTGCTTCCCTCCTCATGCCGCCGTCATCCGTCATCTCCATGTTTTTTGTTCTTCCTGCCCCTCGTTACCATCTTCCCTCGCACCCGTGCCTGTCCCGCCTCATCCGAAAATCCTCGACCCGCCGAGCGAGCGCAGTGGGGCCATAGCGTCCCATCACTGTCCGAGCAGGCCGTGAGTCTCGGGGAACTCATCCGTGTTCCGGAAACAAGTAACGCTGGCGCCCCCTGCAGAGCGTAACGACCCTAATGTAACATATATTAAACATATTATTAAGCTCCTGAGCCAATTAACACAGGAAGGGCGACTCTCTGGGGGCCCCTAGGGATGGTGTGGAGGGGCCCCAGATGCAATGACTTGAACCACGCAGATATATTAATAACGCTGTGAGACTGGGGCCTCCTGCTGAAAAGATTTCTGGGTAATTTTTTGTAACAATTATTATTTTTTTTACTAGTAGGAATTCTGGTTCCAGGTCCCTTTATAGTAAAGCTCCTCCGCCTGCCAGGGACCAGCTTTCATGTCACGCTCTGAAATGAAATGTAATTGGTCTCAGGGGATTGGTTTGGCAGGGGAGGGGCAGTGCTCCTTGCTTGTGGTTTGGGAGAAGTGGCATGGTAAGGGTGTGAGAAATCCCGAGACTGCTTCAGCCCCTTTTCCCAGCTGCAGTCACGCTTGGCCCAAAATGCAGCACTGTTCAATTCATTATTTATCCGTCGATCCGTTTGACCACTGCCGTGTTGCACCGGCTTGGCTGAAACGCAGTCTGTTTGGGCGCCCGACACTAAACATGTCTGTGTTTCGTTCATTCTCCCCCCTCCCCCCCCCACACATCCTCAAAGGCATCAAACCTGCATTTCGAGCTGCCTTCGTGTTAAAGCGGCTCGTTCCGCCCAAAAGTAGGTCATGTTCGCTTTCAAAAATTCAAATGTGCTGTCGCTCCGACCCGAACTGCATTAAACAGGATTACGGGGCTTTGTTTTCAAACACTGTGTTCCGCGTTCTGACAGGATCGCTTTAAGAGAAGAACGCCACATTGATTGATTGAATTAAATTAGTGTTATGCGTAAATGCGATTGTTTGGAATGCAGGTGTGTTTATGTTGATGCGGCGGCTATTTCGCTGTGTGTTTGTTTCATTGGTGTTTGATAGCTTTAATTTCCAGCCCACCCATAAAACAGGAAGTGAGCTGCAGTAGTTTGGGGAATGAGCTTCTAATAACACCAAAACGTGCGTGTATCATAAAGCAGCTTCGAGGTCTTTCAGGTCTGTCCCCAGATGACGGTCTTTGTCCCGTGACAGGCCTCGTAACAGCCAAGCCGAGTGTGGGTTTGGCCACGGCAGCTCAAGTGTAGATTAATCGCTGTTACTGTTATACAGACCTGACACACGCGCACACACACACACACACACACACACACACACCAAGCCCTCGCACTGTCGCCAGGACGACACAGCCCACTTTAATGGCTACATTGACCCTGAGCCTGGCTATCGACCGGCATGCGGACATGCAATTAAGCAGCAGAGATGAGCAGCTAATTGACTCATAAACGGGGGGCTGGCGGACAGATTTATCAGCATCAGGTTCCTGCCTCTGTTCCCCCGCCTCCTGGCCCCCACGGGGGGTGTTTCTGCTTCTCTGTGTCTTTCTTTCTCTCCGTTCAGTCGTTCCCGTATTTCCCACTTTTGCGACTCTCAGCGTTTCCTCCCGATCGTCAGGAATCTCCCAGCTGGGATTTTACGGAAGCCAGCGACTCATTCGCTATTCTGCTGAATAATGTGCTGCTGTTCTGTTCTTGGGGGGAGGGGGGCGCCACTGAGCATAAGCTGCTCCCCCCCACACTAACTGATTACCAGCATTTAATTTCAGCTGCTTTAACACTGACATTAAGCTCCCACTCTCCATCGATAGCGAAACGGTCTTCCCAGTCTTCCCAAGATGTCTTCATCGCCTCATTATCGCTGGATTTTTCACTCATTTCCATAAAATGACCCCCCCCTGCACACCCCGATTGCTATGCCTGACTTTGTGACCCACATCTTCACTGCTTATTATCCATCCCTTTTAGCTCATCTGGAGTTTTAAAATTGTGAGGGAAGAAACATCGGTTGCTCATCAAAAAAGCAGTAATGTGTAACGTGAAAGTGAGCAGATTCCCGAAAGGGCTTGTTTATCTTTGTCAGAAATGCCCACTTAGACTGGACAGCTCAAGGCGCGTAGCGGGAGTACGGGAGACAGCTGAGAATAGGGGAGATATTCAGAGCTTTATGTTTCTGTTTTGCTGGAATCACAGCCGTTTATCGGAGGGAGCGTGCCCACACTGGGGGGTGATTAGGGACCGTTCTGTCCTGATAAACAGCATCCGGCTTCCGGCCAAGGAGTCCTTTGTTCATTTGTCTCCAACTACGAGTCACTGGCTCAGTCGGCATTTACCGTATGGCTCCAGAGCGCCTCCTACTGTTCACTGCCTGTCAGGGCCTTGTGGGCAGCCGAAACCTCACCCTTTTCTCAGCGGTAACAATCTGCTCTGTTATAATGCAACGAGTGGCGTGAACGATGAAGCGATCTGTCTGTCGACATATCCATCAGCTTTCGTCTTTCCTGTGAAATCCATAGTAGTGGTTTCCAGTTATTCCAGAGCTGTTCCTGACCTGATTTACTATGGTCTTCTATGTCTTTGATCTTTCAGGGACTTTGCATACGTGGCGAGAGACAAAGACACTCGGATACTAAAATGTCACGTGTTCCGGTGTGACACACCTGCCAAGGCCATCGCCACCAGTCTCCACGAAATCTGTTCCAAGGTACGTGACCCCCCGCCTGCCTGACTCTGCCGCTCTGCATCAGAAGAGCGTGTTCACTGCTCCCGCCGGGATTCGCATTTTTCAGCAGTGCCTGCGGCAACACCTCCACTACACAGAAGACACAACAGTAAACGTCGTTCACGGGGTAAAGGTGTCACTCTGGTAAAGATCCCCGTTTGACAGGAACGCGACAGTGAGGGTGGTGAGAAAAGCCAGGCAGATTATCGTGACTGTCACCTGAGGACGGTGTCAGAATCACTGCCGCCTTGCTTTTCGCTCATCTTCAGATGTCAAACTGAAATGAAGCTTTATTTGCCATTGGTACACGTGCAGGGGTTTTTTACATATCCCATAATGCTCTGCTTTTTTTGAGACACACACATGTAGAGGTAAGAGAGAAGCTTGTGACTGAGTAAAGGGTCCGTCGTTTATCCAGCACTTCAGGGGGTTAAGGGCCTTGCTCAAAAGCCCAAGGGAGATATGTCTATTCTGTCAAGGATGGGATTTGAACCAATGACCTTCTGTTTGCAAGCCTAACCTGCTGAGCCACACAAGACCCCACTGTGGCCAGGGAGACCGATGCTGAGTGCAGGATTTGGCCCTGGATTTGTCGTGTAGCTTCCGTTCAGGAGTCAGCTCACGTCTGGGCCGGGTATACCCATCCAGAGCCCTAACCGCGACCTTGACCCAAAGCCAGTGCCCGCTTGCTCCTGCTGCACCTCCTCCAGACCTCCTTACAGGGTTTTCCTTTCTCTCCTCCACCTGTAGATTATGGCCGAACGCAAAAATGCCAAAGCTGTGGCCAGCGGGTCCGCCCAGGCGGGAGCCGATGTTCCTCTCCAAGGTACTGGCTTGGGGTTCCCATCCTGCCCTGGGGTCAGGTCCAGTTGGGGAGCATGCACTGGTGCAGCACATTACCACACCCACCACCTGCCCTGGGGTCAGGTCCAGTTGGGGAGCATGCACTGGTGCAGCACATTACCACACCTACCACCTGCCCTGGGGTCAGGTCCAGTTGGGGAGCATGCACTGGTGCAGCACATTACCACACCCAGCATCTCTATCTGCATCAACATCTTATCTCTGTAAATGTAAATGATTCAGTATTGATCCGAGTTGGCACTCTATTGTCTTTGACGATGTGTGTTTCTCAGTGTGTGTGTATGTGTGTGTGTGTGTGTGTGTGTGTGTGTGTGCTCTGTGATCGGTGACGGAGTGAGGTGGGATCACAGCAGCGCCCCCTAGGATGGCCATAGCATCCCCATGTGAACCGAGAGAATTTGAAATTTATAGGGAATAACGTGTGGTTAGGGTTAGGGTTAGGGTTAGGGTTAGGGTTAGGGTTAGGGCTGCTCAGCCTTTCTGAGGGGGCGCCAACTTAGCGAGCAATTTCACTTTGTCTCAGGCAGGGGGCGCCGGCAGTGAAGCTGGTTTAGGGCACCACATGGGCTTCGTCCGGTACTGTGTGTGTGTGTGTGTGTGTGTGTGTGCATGTGTGTGTATGTGTGCACGCTCCAGATGCTGTGGTAAACGTACCTGTTTCCCCAGCAGAGTTCCCCACACCAAAGACGGAGCTGGTGCAGAGGTTCGAAGTGCTGTATCTGGGCATGATGCCTGTGGCCAGACCCATAGGTGAGCTGCACCCACAGCAGGGGGCGCTAGACACATAAGTAGCTATTTTCTGCTGTGCGTTAGATCGCAGGCCTCAGCCTCTCCTGAACGTCGGGCTGAACGCGCATCTCTCCACAGGAATGGACATCCTCAACGGGGCCATAGACAGCCTGATGTCTTCCTCCGGGAAGGAGGACTGGACGCCCGTCATCCTGAACGTGGCCGACGCCACGGTCACCATCATGAAGGAGAAGGTGAGGCGATGGCCGGGACATCGTCATGCTCTTAAGGGTTACATCATCGGCATGTCCTTACCAGAGGCGGAACTGGCCTGTTAACAAAGATCGCAAGAGGTTTAGTGCGTTTGGGCGCTATGCCTGCGATCAGAAGGTCACCGGTTCAAATCCCGTGATCGGTGATGTCACCACTGGACCCCTGAGCGAGGCCCTTGACCCCCATCTGTTCCAGGGACAGTCTGACCCTGCTTTCTCAAATGTACATTGTTTTGGATAAAAAGCATCTGTTAAATAAATAAATGCGAATAAAATGAGAAGCTCTGAGCCAGTGCATGTGCTGCGTTTCCTCTGAGGGCCCGGCATTCCCTCATTTCAAAGGGCTCAGTCCATTTTATCATCGCAGTCTGGAAATGTATTCAAGTGACCTGGCAGCATTGCAGCAGAGAGCTGGTTCTGAGGTGATGTGGTTAAGTAGAAGGTTGAGGAAAGTGCAAACAATGGAGGTGTTTCTGCTCCCCGCAGGACGATGAGGAGGTGCTGGTGGAGTGCCGCGTGCGCTTCCTCTCCTTCATGGGCGTCGGCCACGACATCCACAACTTCGCCTTCATCATGGACTCGGGCAGCCGCCACTTTGAATGCCATGTGTTCTGGTGCGACCCAAACGCGGGCAGCGTGTCGGAGGCCGTGCAGGCGGCATGCATGGTGAGCTCCTGCCCCACCCGGCCCCAGGGGGACCGATTCACTCCTGCTCCTCCGGTCCTGCTCCCCATTTGGTCTCGCTCCCCCAGTCCTGATCCTCTGGCCCGGCTCCTGATCCGGTCGCTCTCCCGATCCAGTCCGCATATTCAGCAGATCCTGCTAGCCTGTCTCCCCAGAGCTGTCAGCTTAATTCACACATTAATTGTGGATTATTCCCATCTGATAAGCGCGTGTCATCTTAGATCAGGCTTTTTTTCATACACCAGTAAGTTATGAGGCTCTGTGTAAATATAGATGTCCGGCCTCATCCTCTGTCTCCTGGTTTGTGTTTCGACTCTGTCTGCTAAGAATCCCTGTCCAATCAGGCGAGTCCGCGTCCCTCTGTGAGCTCTAGCCCCCATTAGCAGGGGATTATAGTGTTCCCGCCTTTGGTCTGAGCCAGTTCAGTTTAAGGTGACCCCCCCCCCCTTCCTTTCTCCCCCACAGCTTCGCTACCAGAAATGTTTGGTTGCCCGGCCGCCACCACAGAAGGCCTGCTCGACGGCGCCCCCCTCTGACTCCGTCACCCGGCGTGTGACCACCAGCGTGAAGCGGGGGGTACTATCCCTCATTGACACTTTGAAACAGAAGAAGCCTGTCCCGGAACTGCCTCAGTAGGGGGCAGAATGACCTCAGGACGGCGACTGGAGGTGATGACTGCGTCCATAAGCGCCAGTGATTAACTGCATAACCGGACTTTGGTGAAGAAAATCATCTTGTATGTGATGAACCAAAGGGTGCACATGTATAGTGTCACCTGTCGCCTGTCTGTTCTCCGTAACTCCGCCTTTGCGGTTTCTTCCTGTCCTATGGGCCTGCCCTTCAGCATGTGTGGCCACACCCACTCCCATCAGGCCACACCCACTTCCGTCTGGCCCCACCCTTACATGTCACACGATGGAAGTGCATGACCACGTGTTAAAAGGGACTTCATGTCCGCTTCTCTTATATATACTGGATGTCCCGTGTAGCGCAGTCTCTCCTGTCCCTTATTGTTATCTGACGGAATCGTACGGCCTTCTGCAGCTCGTTGCTGTGTCGCCTTCGATCCACCAAAGTCGAGACGTCTTCTAAGCTCTGTCCGTCTCTCCGTTTGTGACCCCCTTTGTCCTGAGTGGGGTGCAGTGCCTGTTTTGGTTGTGGACGTGTCCCATGTCGGTCAGGACGCCGGCACAGCGGTGAACACTGAGACTGGGTTTTCCCCACATGCAGCTGGGGGGGAGGAATCCACACACATCACTCAGAACGGACGTGACATCTGTCAGCATTTTAATCCGGTGTCTGTCTTTAATTTTAATCTCACTGGTGTGTCTGGTGTCTTTGAACGGGAAAGGCCACTGTACTGAGTCTTTGGGAGTTTCTGTTCCGTCGCGTACGGCTTGTGACACTGTATCCGATGTCCATTAATATGAACTGTCACAGGTTTTATATATATATAAAAAAAAACACTTGCAGAAACTGCTTCAGTCTGGCCGCCGCATTAACAACCCCCATCTTGCTCACCCCCACCCCCATCTACCCTGGATGAAAAATAGGTCAGCGGCAGCCATTTGTCTGTATATATATATATATATATATGTATAAACATATGATTTTTCCATACATTTATCACTTTATAAGCCATTTTTAATTATCATTTTTGTCTCTTTAAAAAACATTGTTGAACACTTTATTCTTGCCAAAGTTCACACCCTCAATGTATGTGTTGTGTGTGTGTGTATATATATATATATATATATATATATATATATATGTATGTATATATATATATATATAATGGGGGAGAGAAAACAAAAGGGACAAATCGCATCTGGTTTTATTCAACTGTGGATTGGCCAATTAGGTGTCGTGACACTTAGATGTTAACGAATCGTGATCTATGCATTATTCTTCGCCTTTTCCTTTCTCAAAGGCAGGTTCCTAGCTGTAGCTTGCCTCGCATGTCCTGGGACAAAAAAAAAAAGGTCCAGTTTTTTTAAAGATGTATTTATTCGGTTTTATATGAAAATGTCACGTTTTCGCTGTTTATTCCTGTCTGACGTTTTGCTCAGCCGTACCGACGAATTAGCCGGTAGTAATGAAAGCCTTCGTCTAAATCTGTATCGGCCTTCTGAGGAAAACGGACTCAGGGATAAAACGAATTTAAAGACATTTCTGGCCCGAGGATTCAGGTGGTGTCACTGAAACAGTCTTCATGGCCAAAAACGACTGTGGATAGAAACCAGGAAAAAAATACTATGTGATAAAACATATCAAAACATTGGTTTGATGTTCAAATACTCTGGGGCAGGAGTTGCTTTTGGTCACATTTGACGGCTCATCATCTGCTTTTTTGGGGGGCTGGTTACACACAAAAAAAAAAGGCCTAACGTTGAGTCCTCAGAAAGTTTGACTACAGGCAATGTTAATTCTGTAATATATTTCTGTTTCAAACAAGAACTAAATCTGCTTATTGTTTGAAACCAGCTGAACCAGCAGTAACATCATATCTTCAAACTGTGCAGAGCAAAGCCACGTTGGGCCGTGTACCAGCTGGCTGTACCAGTGACTAAACCCAAGGCTTGGCTCCTCTGCGCCTCCTATTGTTCTGATGTGGTAGTGCGGCTGGCTCACTTCAGAAAACCCACGATACAGACGCACAGTCGCGCAGAGTGGAATGCGACAGGCATGTCTGATGTTCACTAACTTCCCGCTGTCTAAATGTAACCTGTTGTGAGAATAAAGTGTGTATTAAACCTCAGAGCCTCTTCTTCTATCTGCCCCATATGGGGTATCATTCGGGGGACGTGCATTTTGATGTGCAGCTTCTATCTCCCCAAAGAAAGAAACCACGAGATATGTAACATCCAGGGACGGGTATGCTGTTTCTGGGGCCCCCACTCAGAAAGTCACTCTTTGGGGCCGGCCAGTGTAGTACCTATTTGTGACCAACAGGGGGCACGAATGCGTGGTTTAAGTGGTGGTGCGGTTTACTGACATGGATTGCCGTTGCTCAGAAATCGATGAGTCAGCTCTCGGTACGCGGCAATGCCAGTGAGAGCGGAGCTCATGTTGTCCACCAGAGATGTAGCTGGCCTCGTTTGGGCCCTTTAAATGCCGGGCACGCTTCAGATGTTCTTCTGTAAATCACTTCAGCAAAAGAAAAGCCAACGTAACGCAATGCATTCTGGGCGACTAATGCTGCTCCAGAATATGAATTGGCCTCGCTTGGGCCGGACGACCTTGTTTCCTGGGCCTGGATACCTCCGTCTCTAATTTGACATGTGTCTCAGTGCCCAGAAGACCTTTGGGTCATGGCCTAGCCTGCACTGCATCGTGAGGAGGCGTGTTTCCGATACAGAGGAACAAATACGAAAAGGGGCGTGGCCTTTCTTACGACATCACCGAGCCACCCCACGCTAAAACACTGGACCTCGGAATTGTTTCCCGGGATGTGGTGAAAGGGTGGGTGTGGGGGGGGGCATCTTTACCTTCTTTGTTACACCTTGCTGACCTCACTGCATCCCAAGATTTAAGCCTTAATCCATTTTGCTGATCCTGCAGAAAGATGTTAGATCATTGTCCATTGCTTTTCCTGTAGGAAATAGCTATGAAATTAGCTGAACCATCACATTAGAACACAAAGGGCTTACAAAACCCTTTAAAATTATCCATTATAATATGCCTCATACATATAATTTAGCTTGTGTTGATTCTTGTATACTATTTGCATTTAATGTATAAATAATGACGCTTATAAAGACCGATATGGGTATTCCCTGATTTAAAACGTTAGAGGGGATTAAACATCGATCCTAAGGTCCCCTTCCCAGTCCGTTCGAGCCGCTTTATAAGTCTTCTGCGCTGTTGCCTCCTCGCCTGGGGGGTGCAGCCGTGACTTACATGGTCCTTGGCTGCTCTCCGAATCCCTCAATGATCTGCTGGCTGCCGAAACGGAGCCACCGTTCTCCACAATGGGACCCCTGCCGCGGTTTAATTTCCCGTGTCTGCACTCGCTCAGTGCCTCCGTATTGCTCTCGCTGCCCCCCGCTGGAGAGAAATCGAAGGGCCGGGACGCGAGCTCCGCGGGCTAATGAGACGGCGGCCCTGAGGACGAGCAAATGGCTGTAATCCCTCCGACTGTAGTGAATAGAGAGTCTGTCAGGCGAGCGGTAGGTTTATATCATAAACCGCTCACAGACGCACAAATCACGGCCTATAGCTCGGCACCAGTCTGCTATATTACCTGCGTGGACACTGTATTTTGCAGGTCAGAGGCGGTGAAGGTAATCCGTTCGGGAAAAATGCTCACAGCTCTGCAAGACGGGGTCTTCCTCTCATACCACGAGCGTACCATACATAAACAACATGCTGCCCGATCACTTTCAGCGAGCTTATGACCGGGGTGACTTTGTGATCACTCAGAACCTACAGCTGGGGATCTGTAGGGCGTGTGGGGTCCTTAATGAACTCCAGCAGCCTCGTAAATCCTGGGGAAAATAGCAGAAAACAGGGTGTGGGGGAACAGTGTACCCCACCACACAGCCATTGTCCATGAGGGACCAGGATTAAGTTCATGGGCCTGTAAGTCACATCATGGGAGCGACTTATGCATCTGATCACAGTTCTTATGCAGAATCACTCCAATCAGAATGGAAGCTCTGAATAAAATAAATGCCAGATAAGTAAATAAACTGAATCCTTTGAACTTCCAACTACATTCTGTTTAATAAAATACAAGTTAGCTGAAAAAGACTTTTTTGTTATAAAAAATGACACCAAATTATAACACAATTTACGAAAATAATCAATCACAGAGCAACAAAAACGAATAACCACAAGATGTCAGATGCTGAGATCAGTGAGACGAGATCGTCGACAGTGTCTTTCGTGCAGCTGGGGGGACTGCAGAAATGTCACGTTTCTGTCGTCACCATGACGCCTGTGGAATGTTTGCATGCTGCGTTGCTGGCGATGACAGCAATACTGGGTTACCATGGTTACAGCCAGGGCCGTGGGTGCCACACGGCTGACAATCTGTACAGGTTGTCGCCAGAGCGGGATGCGGCCGGATGAGAGCCGGCCCGCCAGCTGAAAAAGGTCCGGGGGTGGCTGTAAGGCGGGGGCTTCCGGGGCTTCATGCTGAAGCAGGGGAATGTCACAGGGGGAAGCACCAGCGCCACAGGCCTCAGGATCTCCAGCCGAGCCCTGGGCCTGGGTATAGGAGGAGCTCTCGGTGCTGGCTGGCTGGAAGCAGTGGGCTTGCGCTTGCTGGCAGAAGTTGTGATCACTGTGATGTTTTTCCACTGCTGGCTGGAGCTGCCTCTAGAGGGCAGCATCCCTGGAAGGGACCTACATGGAGGCTTGGGTTTACCGGGCTCTCCACTTGAGCCTTTCACTCCAGAGGAGCCTTGCAACTTCACACTGGGGGTCCTGTTTGTCTTGGCTTCCCGGCTCAGGAATTCCTCTATGCAGGACTGGCTGTAGATGGGTCCTTGGGAGCGGTGTGGCCTACGGGCCACTACTGTCTCCCGGGGCAACATGCGCCTCTCCTTTCGTGGGAGCTGGCTCGGTGAGACCCCCCCCAGCAGGCCCTTGGCAGCCGCCCGAGCCAGCACCTCCTGCACCGTCTCTCTCGCCTCAAGGGTTGGCTGTGATGGGGGAAGTGAGACCAACAGTCAGGGGATGGCAAGACCTGATATGGGAAAGCGACGTTTCAGGGTGAAATTGAAACAGCTCTTAGCGACAGTAAGCTGGGCTTGCTGAGTGCACACAAGCTCAGGTGTAACAAATCACTGGGAAAAGTTGCTAGCAGGCAAATCTCGACTTACGTAAAATCAACTTACATAAAATCCAGCCTTATGCAAAAAAATATCCAAGTTTATGAAAATTTTGCCATTCCCCTTTATGTAAATGTATACTTTGACTTTTATTTAATGTGTTCTTTAGTACATATCGCTAGTATTTTTTTGGCTATAAGGTGTCCTTATAAATCCGACTTGCATAAAATTTGACTCACGTAAGGGTTTGTGTAACAGATTACTTAAATTAGGTGATAACTGTCTGTAAGTTACCCAGAACCAGAAATATAAACTGATGCCCTTGACTCCAGTTCTGTAAGTGGTAACAGCCCATTCCAGCTAACCAGAGAGAATCTCGTTTCCTTATTGGGGGACTGTGCCATGTTTCAGGAACTCAGGGCCGAGGGTCAGGGTTAGGAGCAGAGGTTTGGGACAAGGAGCTG